TTTTTTTTTTTTTTTTTTTTTTTTTTTTTTTTTTTTTTTTTTTTTTTTTTTTTTTTTTATACGGGACTACCTACACCCTTATTTTGGTCATTCACAATTCACACTTTAATCAATTGACCCTGGCCTAGTGCGTGCCCATAGAATAATTTTCATCGCATATCATGACAACATTGTAGATAAAGAGAATATTCAAGTTTATCTTGTAGATAAAAACTAAAATTCATTCTTTTATACTACGTTAGTTTTTTTTATGTTTGTCTCATTTAAAGTATTCAATTCAATAATGAGAAAAGTTTGGCCAGTACTGTTCAATAATAAGGAGAGTATACAACAACAAAGCTATGTACTAAAAAGATTTGGGGCGAAAAAAAACCCTAGCCTCCTTTCTCTCTTCTCTCTCCTAAACTTTAGCCTTCATTGTAAATTTTGAAAGAGCTTCTATCGGTTTCATCAGTGGAAAGCCCCAATCGAATGTTTCCTTTGAAAGAAAGGGTTTATCTCTTTCGAAAGACAAGTTTTTTCGATCTCCTTCAAAAGAAAAGGTTGTTCGAACTCCAAGACAAGATGTTATTTGCGTTTGATATGGTCACCAGTTTTATGGGGCTATGATTGATTATTGCTCGAATTCGGGTTACAAAATCATCACAAGAAATTTTTCTTCACAAAATGTTGAAGCGTTGACGGATCCAGTCAAAAAGTTGTATGAGACAACAAATCGAGATTCGAGAATATGCCTAATTGTTATATCTATGTATTTGGATTCTTAGCACTTCTCTGTTTAATTCTTGTTAAATGTTGTTAAATTTATTTTCATTATCGTTATTTATCCAATGTAGATGTCGTATGACTTTAATTAATGAAATTTAGTGTGAAAAAAAAAGAAGAGAGATTTGGAATCGGCTAATATGAACTATCATTGAAAACCTTCAGTGAAAAAAACCGTGAAAAAGTCAAAGACAGACATTAATCGTGCAAATTGATGAGTGCATTGTATTCTCGAGCAATAAAAAAACTTGTTACGCGATCAAATGATCAATCAGTATAATTAGACAAGAATATATGTCACAAGGCCACTAACGCAGAAGATTCGAAATATAGAGCAACAATGTGATTCTTGATTACAAACCTTATCCTATATATTGAGAGGGTTGCTACTGCAAGTCTGCAACACACACACTACAACAACATGTACTACCTCCGTTAACTATTATTTGCAATAGTTGTACCTTTCACGGAGGCCAAGGCAAAAGTTTTTAAGCATGATTATTAAAATATAAGGGCATGTACTTAAACACTAATCCAATTAAAAAAAAAAAATTTATCAGAACCACTAAAACCCAGAATCACTACCACCACCGAACCCACCGTAAACCACCACCACCACCACCACCGAGCCCACCGTAAACCACCACCACCGAACCCACCGTAAACCACCACGAATCAGATTTGAACCCCTACAACCACCCCACGAACCAGACAAACATACAAACCCAAACCCACGAACAAGACAAACCCAGTCACCACCACGAACCCAACCCACGCCACCCTACAAAACCAAACCAAAACCAGACCCACCCACCCACCACCATGAACCAGACCCACGCCACCCCCACGAAACCAGACCCACTCAGCCACCACCACGAACCAGACCCACGCGACCCCACAAAACCAAACCCATGAACCAAACGAACCCAGCCACCACCACGAAACCAGCCACGCCACCCCCACGAAACTCACGCCACCCCTAAAACCAGATCTGAAACCCCTAACACCCCCACGAACCAGAAGATTTATCGATCTTGATGAGATCGTCGAGGGACATGATCAATCGATTTTCCATTGCCATTGAAAGATGTGGTGAAGAAGAAGAAGAAAATGTAGAGGAGAGAGAAAATTGAAGGAGGAAGAAAATTGGGGAAAACCAGAGATCTAGGGTTGGCTCAAAAGGAGGATGAGAGAGAGAAAGTGGGAAGATGAATGATTTTTGTGAAAATGATTACAATAATCAGATTTATTAGGTAAAAAGTTAAATTAGATTAGTGATTTAATTAGATGTCTAAGTTGTTTAAGTAAGGGTAATATGGGCATTTTGTTGGCAAAAAGTTACTAAAAAAGGAAATAAAAAAGTTTGTTGCAAATGATAGGAAGCGCCTAATTTCAGTAAATGTTGCAAATAATAATTAACGGAGGTAGTAATTTATATAAAAGTGTTAGTGGTTGGATCTTAATTAGATCTATATATAATTAAGTGTGCATGCACACTTCACATTTGCCAATTTCTAGTACTTAAATATATCTGTTGAAGTATAAACTTCCTAAAGAACACATATAATTAAAGTGTCCTATATTGAGAAGAGAAGAGAGTTAAACACTTTTTAAGACTAAGGACTGTTTCTCCTATTGTCATATGGTTTTGGGATGAAACCTCCTTGGACTTGTGAAGTGGATGACTTACTTTGATATTTTTACTTACGGATTAGCATACATAAAAAGTCAAAGTTTTGTTAAATCAAGTAATTAGAGAGAATCATATTTTTTTTTTAACAAAAAAAAAAAAAAAACCCAATCACATTATATAAACAATAATAATGTGTACTAAACACAACCTTACTCCCCTCACTTAAATAATTATTCCATCTATAAAATGTGCTCTTGTTATCTCAAAGAGAAATATGAGTAATAAGTACGCAATTTTTATGGTAATCTTGGAGTACCATGCTTACGATACTCTCAGGTCATTTGCTCATGTCTTTTCCATGCTCTCTTTTTTTTTAGTTCTTCATGTTCACAGACTATAGCTTTATAGTACAACATTCAACAAATTGCGTTCACTAGACGAAAATCCTAATTTGGCACCGGTTCAAACCTCCCCTAAGGCACCGGTTTTGAACCGTTGGGGATTTGAGGGATGCCAAATCCTCAAAAATTTGGCACCGGTTCAAAACCGGAGCCAACTAAAGCCATTTGGCACCGGTTAACCGATGCCAACTACCTTGAATTTAATAAAAAAAAAAATTTGGTGCCATTAAGTTGGCACAGGTTAACCGGTGCCAACTAAAGCCATTTGGCACCGGTTAACCGGTGCCAACTTTAATGGCGCTAGTTTTTTTTTAATAAATTCTATGTAGTTGGCACCAGTTTTAAGCATGAACCGGTGCCCTTTGACTTCTTTTTTTTTTTTTTTTTTATTTTTATTTCCCCGGAAATAATATATATTAATATTAATACTAATAAATATAATAATAATGAGATCATGCACATAATACCGATAATAATAATAATAATTATAATAATAATAATAATAATTATTATTATTATTATTATTATAATATTAATAATAATTAGTATAATTAATATATTAATAATAATAATAACTATTATTATTATAATATTAATAATAACGATTATTATTATAATATTAATAATAATTAGTATTATTAATATATATGAATAATAATAATAATAATAATAATTGAAAATAATTACGAGGACATAAATATTGATAACCATCCCAAAATATGATATTAATTAGAAAAATGTGTCATAACTACAAACAAACAAAATTAATTAGTAATAATGTTGTACACTAAGCTAGTTAAAACATAAATAAATGGTATTTACAAATTAAATGTGATGTAGGCCGCCAACATGTCTCGAATTACATTGAGTTCCTCGCTCGTGAACGGATTTCCCGTTTCTCCCTTGCAAAACTTGGAATACATACACAAAACGTAAGTTAGTAGGAGTGAACTCATAAATAGTCATAACATGTCTTTATCACTTATTTATAGGTGGCCAAAACTTGAAATTACAAGAAAATAGCAATTAAGGGGTTCTAGAACGCAATTTCAACACCAAAATGGCCCGAGTAAGGCCATTTTCACTACTAGGATGCCTATTTCCTACATTTCTTGTCTAGTGAACTCATAAATAGTCATAACATGTCTTTATCACTTATTTATAGGTGACTAAGGCTTGAAATTACAAGAAAATAGCAATTAAGGGGTTTTAGAACGCTTTTTCAACCAAAATGGCCCGAGTAAGACCATTTTCACTATTAGGATGCCTATTTCCTACATTTCTTGTCTATTGAACTCATAAATAGTCATAACATGTCTTTATCACTTATTTATAGGTGGCCAAGACTTGAAATTACAAGAAAATAGCAATTAAGGGGTTTTAGAACGCAATTTCAACCAAAATGGCCCGAGTAAGGCCATTTTCACTACTAGGATGCCTATTTCCTACATTTCTTGTCTAGTAAACTCATAAATAGTCATAACATATCTTTATCACTTAGTTATTGGTGACTAAGGTTTGAAATTACAAGAAAAGAGCAATTAAGGCGTTTTGGAACGCAATTTCAACCAAAATGGCCCGATTAAGGCCATTTTCACTACTAGGATGCCTATTTCCTATATTTCTTGTCAAGTGAACTCATAAATAGTCATAACATGTCTTTATCAATTATTTATAGGTGGCAAAGGCTTGAAATTACAAGAAAATAGCAATTAAGGGGTTTTAGAACGCTTTTTCAACCACAATGGCCCGAGTAAGGCCATTTTCATTACTAGGATGCCTATTTCCTACATTTCTTATCTAGTGAACTCATAAATAGTCATAACATGTCTTTATTACTTATTTATAGGTGGCCAAGGCTTGAAATTACAAGAAAATAGCAATTTAGGGGTTTTAGAACGCTTTTTCAACCAAAATGGCCCGAGTAAGGCCATTGTCACTACTAGGATGCCTATTTCCTACATTTCTTGTCTAGTGAACTCATAAATAGTCATAACATGTCTTTATCACTTAGTTATTGGTGACTAAGGCTTGAAATTACAAGAAAAGAGCAATTAAGGCGTTTTGGAACGCTTTTTCAACCAAACTGGCATACCTCTTCAAGCTGTTGTGTGTTTGTACAATGACTCACTATGTCTGTAATCCCCCATATTTTTCTTAGTAAATATTAATTATATATTTTTATGTATACGATTATTTTTAATAATTTTATATTTATATATTAAAAAAAATATTTTGGAAAGATTTCACAAAATAAAAACAATAACTTATATTTCAATAGCATTTTACTCACTATTGGGCTAAGATTACCATTATAATTCTACAAAAATAAAAGAGCCCAAACCCTCATTTTTCTAATTAAGTAAACTTCTCCTAAAACCCTCCTACTGCCCTCTCCTTATTACTCCTCTACTGCTTCCTCCTTTCCCCATCCACAATTCACGACACTCAAAAAAAAAAAAAAAAAAAAATTTCGCTGCTGCCCCTTCGTTGCTGCTGGTGTCGCCGCCGCACTGCTGCTGCCGCCAGCGACCCGTCGCTGCTGCCCGAACCACCAGCCGGTTTCCTTTCATTTCCCTTTTCTTCTATCTTCCTCTTTTCTTGTTTAATTTCTGTAAAGATTTAACCTTCATATGAATTATTGATTTGATTATGCATATACATGATGAATATTGCAAATTTATTGAGTCATGTTGCGAATTTGTTGAGTTTATGATATACTAAGTATATGATTAATGTCAGATTTTATTAGCTACGAAATTAGGGTTCAAAAATCGTGATTTTCGCAATGTTTTGGGCTTAAACCATGAATAATTGATTTAACTAATTACTTTGTATTTAATATGGTTTTACCTTTAATTTTCGATGATTATATGTAATTTTCAGATTTTCAGAAAAGCTGATTTTGGGTTTTAAATGTTGAATTTTCATGATTTTGGGCATAAAACGTGAATGATTGATTTAATTACTTACCTTGTGCTTAATTATGATCCTAACCTTAATTTTTGATGAGTATAATAATTTTCAGATTTTTAAGAAAGCTGAATTTTTGGGCTCAAAGCAGGAAGATTAAATTATTTAATTATAGTATGTATAAAATTATGTTTAAATTCAATTATCTTGATTATAAACTAAATTTCAGATGTTAACCTTAACTTTAATAGCTTTAAATCATGGTTTTATGTCGGATTTCAAGTTCTCAACATACTAACGTAATATATAACGATTGTTTCAAGTAAAAATGTTTATGGGATTGTTTTACAAGCTTAAAACGAATTTTCAGATTTATAACACCACTTTAAAGTTGCTGAAATTTTTCCTATAAGCCATATTTTTATGATTTTTAGCATATAAACCCATAGTTGAAGTACTAAATTATTAACTTTGGCTATTGGGAATAATTTAAGAGCATTATTTCAATGATTTAAAGGATTTTAAAATAGTTTGGTATTGCCGTAAAATATATTGCTTGGGTATTAATTGAACTGTGGTTGTTTTGTTTAGGAAGGGACTTCGTAGAAGGTGACTTTTAGCCTTAAAGTGGCCAACCAATTTGTGTACTCAAGGTACGTACAAGAATACGAGGAACCTTGATTTTAGGAGCATGTTTAGGGACTTGGAAAAAACCTAGAATCATGCTAGGGAACTTGTCGATTGGTTGGAATTGTTTGGTAATGAGTTGTTTGATGATAAATGTGATGGTTAGTTTAATTCATGCTTGAGAAATGTGCATTGATTTTTCCTTATGAGCAGTATTTATGAAATAATGTTCAAAGTGAGCTTAGAGGCAAAGATATAATGAATTATTTTGATTACTTGTTCGTTTATATTGAAATGGAACGAGTAAAAGAAGAATTAAAGTCTTATAAGACAAAGTTGAGAATTTGAGGTGCCTTATGCACTTAAGGTGTTTATACACCGAGGTAGTTAAAGGATGCAATAATAAATGTTGTTTGTCACTGATAAATTGAGAATTTAATTGGAAACTTGAATGATTTGATTGATTGATGTATGATTGGTTGAGTTGTTTGCATATGAGTCATCACCAAATTTTACACTGGTAAATCACGTAAAGTGCAAGAAGGATGAGCAATAAAACTCTGGATTTTGTGCACATCTAGAGTAATGACAAACATGGGTTGGGGTTCACGGGGTATTAGCCGTGCACTTTTCAGAGGCCGTCTGATCTACGAGTCTCTTGTTTTAAATTCTTTTAAAATTATAATGAGTTAGATGAGATCTCATACTAGCTATGGCCACGGAGTCGCGCCCGTCTGCCATTGGATGTTTATTAATGTCTTCCGAAAGGAGGCATAGGGTTTTCTTATTTAATGTTCCGGAATGGAGCACAGGGGGACAACCCGGTCTATTGCTTAATCCAATCAATTAATGAAGTGATCAATGCTATTTAAATAAAAACTTAGTAATGAGTAACTATGGAGTCCTGTGTTCGAGTCAATGATAATATTGTGAGTGTATGGAATGCTTGTTATTATCATGCTAGAACTCTTTACCCACTTGTATGTACTCAGCGTTGCTGATTGAGTGCTTTTATGTGTTTTCTTTGGTCATGGCCTTCGCCTTCAATGACCCTGTAATGATCCAATTATTACACTTGTAATATTGGGGAGCAGATTCATCACAGGTTTTTGCATAAACTGTCTTGCATCAGGGTGATGGGATTTGAGTGGAGAGTTGGTTAACCAGTTAGCTTATTTCATAACACAGATTGAATTTTATTTTGGTGTTGGTTCCATTACTTCCTATTTTATTGGATTTTGAATAAGGGTCGTTATGGTTCCAACTCGTAAGACTATATTGAGCTTTGACTTTCAGTTTTAAAACTCGTATTCTTTTCAAAAAAAAAATTAATTTTCCGCTGCTAATTTCTGAAACTAGCCTTAACGTTTGAACACGTGGCGGTAGCACTCCAATAATTCTCTTACAGGTTATACAGGTCATTACAGGCTGTGCAGGTTATACAGGTTATGTTGATTAGTACAGGTTTTCACGGGTTCTTGTAAAGTGAGAATTATTGGGGTGTTACAATGTCAAACATGAATCTCATCACGTAAAGGCCACAATCAACTCCGTTATCTTGTTGTGCGCACTAGCATGAGGAACAAAGTACATGAATCAAACATACATAGCAAATTAGCAACATCTTACGCATTGTATATTACGAAAATCACAATATCATGTGGCATTACCATCGGTGATTTCCATGTAGGACCTCGAGTAGCTCGAGAATTTATCTTCTTCATAACACTACATAGAAAATTAAGTTCAAATTTGATTAGTATAATTAATATATATGAGTTAGGTTATGATAATCAATAACAAGAATTGAAGCTATGTATATTTACTTTTGCAGTATGGACTTCACGAGGCGCTTTCTTGGTTGAGGTAACCGAGCAGAATCAAAGAAGAAGATTGTGTTACTGGAAACACAAATCACCAGTAGGGTCCAATGATAACTACGTACATACATTCACACGAGACAAACAAATCAATAATTAGGCAAGTACAACATATAAACTGGGAAAACAAATGAATTTGACAAGCATAATCTGACATACTCCTCATAATATGGGGCAAATATAAACATGTCTCCCGCACGCACTGATTCCTTGATACCCCGTTCAACATAATACAACACGTCAGCATGGTTGCCTAAGATTCTAGCAGTGGAGATCTTCTCAGGGCATAACCACCCAATTTGACATGGAGAACCAAGCTCCCATAAGTGCTCCTGGAGTGCTCTGCATGCATGATAATAGAATGTTAATTGAAAATCAACCGACAATCACCACTAAACTGAATAACATAAATTGAGTACTAGTTGAATTACCTGATGCATATTTGAATGAGGGAAATGTTAAGCATTACACCACTTAGAAATTCCTTCACATCTTCTTTGAATAGCCATGCCATTGCATCATCATCGTAGTGGAACATTTCCTTAGGTAGTGGAACTTGAATGGGGCTGTCACTAGGCAACACGCAAACACGGTTGTGCAGATAAGTTAACTCCTTAGAGAGCGATTGAAGCACCGTGTCTTCAACTAGTGGAGTTGCTTGCATAGCTGAACCTCGTGAAGAGCTCTTGTTCGACGCTTTTCCACTCACCGAGCCATGTTCACTCCTCTTCTTTGGCATATGTTGATCAATGCTTTTTGGCCCCTCCACCCTCTTCTTTGGAGTTTGGCTTTTCCTCGATCGCTAATAAGACAAATCACACAAATGGTTAGAAAAGAATTTCATCCAACTCTTGGGATGAAAATCGGGTATAGAGTAAAGTGTGAACTTTAAATCTTAATTCCCTGGTTCACCAATCGTAAACAAGCACATGGCCACTGCATAAAACTACCTTTTGCCGCCCAAAGTGTAGTAAACTCATCCTCCTCTACGGGCACAAGTATTAGGATGTCCTCGAACCCGGCAACCACAGAACGGATCCCGACCGAATAATGCTCAGGTCGAAGAGGCCGCAAATGGACCGTACTAATTCGGCCGGTTGTGCACTACCATATGCAACGACATTTAAAGCTCCATTAAGCAATTCGCCCGGGTGAAGAATTTCACAACGGGTCTCTTCCTGCACCAATTTGAAATATCACTTGTAAGAAACAAGTAAAAAAAAAAAAGGGAAGAGCAAAACAGCGGAACAGCGCAGCAACAGCACAGATGCACTGCCGGCACTGCTGCTGCCTGCTGCTGCACTGCTGCTACCTGCTGACTGCACAACTGCTGCACAGCTGCTGCCTGCACAACACAGTTCACAGCTCACAGCACAGTTCACAGTGCACAACACAGTTCACAGTTCACAACACAGTTCACAGCTCACATCACAATTCACAGCTCACAGCACATCACAGTTCACAGCTCACAGCTCACAGCACAACTCAGCACAGTTCACAGCTTACAGCACAACTCAGCTTAGTTCACAGCACAACTCAGCACAGTTCACAGCACACAGCACAACTCAGCACAGTTCACAGCACAACTCAGCACAGTTCATAGCTCACAGCACAGAAACAGCAGCAACACAGCACAGAAACAGCACAACTCACAGCATCATAGTAGGCAGGCAGCAAGCACAGAAAAAGCATGACAGAAACAGCATGACAGCACAGAAACACGACAACAATAGCACAAAAACAGCACAGAAACAACACAGAAACCGGTCTTTACAAGAACGAAGAAAAACGACGCAAACGAAGAAACGAAGAACATTTACAGCACATCAAACCGCAAAATTCATCCAATATAAAGAAACAACACAACAAACTTCACAAATTCACAGCAGAATCAAAGAACCAATATCACCATCCAAAGAAATAACTAAACAACTCACCTGTAGAACTAGAAAGTCATGAGGTGTTGGATTTTCAGGCTCCCTCAAGTACGCATGTGCATGATTACTAACCTGCAAAAGTGTATTGATAGTGTGAGGCTAATTAGAACCCACGTAACTCAAAAAGTCAAAACTTATACATTAGAAACCACTTGATCATGTACCTCCTCGTCTGCATGTATCTCATCTTCTCCTTGTTTTCGTGGGTGACTAGAAGAGTCGACCGGTGTAGCCGAGGAGAAAGGCAAGCTCGGCAAGTTCATTTGCTTTGCCCATGCATTGAACTATTCTCGTATCTTGTTGCGCACTTGTTCCTTAATTGATGTCACCGTGGCATCCAAGTTGACCGGTGAGTTCACACTTGCCCGGGATCTCCCTGATTTGGTATATTCCGGACCCATCACCTTCTCCCATCCTAGCAAGCTCCCTCCCGCACCCAATACGCGTCCTGGATGGTAGGGCTTTCCCAAAGCCAAGGTGAAAGGGTCCTTCTCAACTGTTGGGACGAGCTTGCCTTCAACAAGCTCTTCAGTGTACTCAAGATATAGCAAAAACAAAAAGGCAACATCAAGTTAGTGTTTATGTAAAGTGATATACATGCAAAAGATTCATGCAGTTCACAAGTCATAGTTGCTTACAAGTTTATCTGCCATTTCTTTCGTTTTCGGAGCCTTGATGGACCATTTTCCGGTTTTCTTGTCAAGAGAATGCAAAGAACAAAAGAAATCTCCGGCACGACTCACCAAAGTATTGGTCATGGAGTCAGAGGGCACTGTGGAGGACCCTAGAAGCGTAGTGGGGTATACTTCTTCATTCACCTACGTCTCCCTCCATTCATCAAACGTCATACACCCCATACGATGGTGGTATTGCTTCTTCAATGCATTCTTGGAATTCTGCTCCCTTATTTCCTACATAATTAGACATATTAGTTTCAAAACTACCAAAATATTAAATATATTATACATTTGTCATCGGAGTTACTTGAACTTACAATTGCTTCTTTTTTGCTTTTTTGAAGAACGAAAGCATCCCAATCTTCCTTTGATACGCTAGACCATATTTGCCATGGGAGTTTCTCTTCATCGATGACTTCATCATCATTGCCCCCTCCTTTCTTGTTCTTTGGTTTTCTCACAAGTTTCTTTGTGATAAACCGACGAACTAAGGTGGTTTTGAAGCCTCTGAATCTTGCCCGCAAGTAAGGATTCAAACACCCTTCGCTTGGCGTACTCATTTGGAATGTTAAATAGACTCTGCAAGCACAAATAACAGTCATTATTAGTTCCCAACTTGAACAGCATACTGACGACGCCATTTGCCTGTAGGTTGGCCTACCCTGTCATACTCCAGGACCATTGGACCGACAGGTTTCTTGAAGCTTGTCGTCAGACCCCTCAGCTTTTTGTTCGCTGGTGCCTTTACCCCCCCTTCACTAGGATTCTCATCAAACGACTCAGACATTGCATTTTCGATAGGAGGCGCTTGTTCAGCTGCAATTTCAAACTCATCAAGCATACGATCCAAAACATCTTGAGCCTGATCTTCTGCCTCACCCAAATCAGGCTCCTTGTTCACATCATACAACTCGTCCCCATTCCCAGATGAATCATCATAATCATCCTCTACATCCTCCACTCCAATACGGTAGTGATCATCCGCCATGAGATGTAAACCTATCATTACAAACATAACGCGTTATTAGTTGTAATATAAATAAATTTGTAAGATAAACTTATAATCAAATATAAATTGCTGAACTATAATACAAATTAACATAGAAAATGTGGAACTAAGTTACTTCATTCATTTAAAAGAAAATACGAAAAATGGGCAAGTAAGTTAACAATTTCATTCATTTTCACCTAAAAATGTGATTTAATAATACTTTCGACGCCTACAATTTCAAACTAACAAAAAATAGTACCCATTTATGTCATATCCCTCAAATGAGCGAACGTCATCCCTAGGACCATAAGCAAGCCACCTTACTGTATCTGTGACACTCTCATACTTTCCACCCATCACTCGATCACGAAACCAACTCACAAACTTCTTATTATGCAACTGCATCAGTGCCCGTTCACCTTTCGATGGAAATTCATCACGCAAACTAGCCATGTGCTCGTCTAAATATGGGTGAACATCTGCAACATGGTGCAACACATAAAGGTGCGCTTGTAAGAACTTATCTCGATCAGGTGACATTCGTTTTGACCCGATTGTGCCATGACCATCAAGTCTCCCTTCGTGTCGAGAAGTAGGAATACCAATAGGTTTAGCAACGGCTATATAGTCGGCCACAAAATTACCGACCTCCTCAGCCACGGTCCCTTGAATAATACTTCCTTCCGGGTGAGCCCGATTCCTCACTTTATCTTGCAATGTACCCATATGTCTTTCAAAAGGATATCACCACCGCATGAACACTGGACCGCACAACTTAATCTCACGCACCAAATGAAGAATCAAATGCACCATTATGTCGAAAAACGAGGGTGAGAAGTACATCTCAAATTTGCATAAAGTCACAACCACATCCGCCTGTAAAGCATCAAGTGTACAAAAATCAAGCACTTTGCTGCATATTGTATTGAAAAACGAACAGAGGCTTGTAATAGCTTCCCTCACGTGCTTTGGTAAAATACCACATATTGCAATTGGTAGGAAAACTTGCATCAGAACATGACAATCATGGGATTTCATACTTGTCAGCTTCAATTCTCCATTTAAGGATACAAATCTCTTCATGTTAGATGCGTACCCTGATGGAACCTTAATGCCATACATACATGCACAAAATATCCGTTTTTCTACCCTTGACAATGTGTAGCAAGCCGGAGGTAAATAGGCCTTGCCCTCCTTGGCTTTTCCCTCATTTTTCTTCTTCGACGCATCCGTGGCCTTTCCCTTTCCCTTTCTCTTCCCCTCTCCTGTTTTCGAACTCAATTCATTTTCCTTTTCCTGATCCTTTCCCTTACTAACCCTTTGCTGAACCCACAATTCTGGACGCACCCCCATCTTTTTCAAATCATCTCGTGCACCCTTTCCGTCCTTTGTCTTGCTTTGAATATTCATCACCGTTCCCACAAGAGCATCACACACATTCTTCTCTATATGCATTACATCAAGACAGTGCCTAACGTCATGTTCTTTCCAGTACGGGAGCAACCAAAAGATTGATTCTTTTTTAAAGAGAGCAGTTGACTCCGCCGCTTTTTCTGATTTCCCAAAGACTGTTCGTACACCCTTAACTCGAGTGTAAACCTCCTCACCAGTCAACGGCCTAGGCGCAGTCCCCTCTTCCGCTTTCCCATCAAAAGCCTTTTTCTGCCTACGTTACGGGTGATCGCGCCTGAGCAACCTTCTGGTCCGTAAATACACCTCTTTGTGAGAATGATCAAGGCGTCTGCTTGGCGTATCATCAATACAAATGGGGCATGCTTTTTTCCCTTTGTTCTTATACCCAGACAAGTTGCCATATGCAGGAAAATCATTAACGGTCCACATAAGAGCTGCACGCAATGTGAACATCTCATTCTTATGAGCATCAAACACGGAAACCCCTTCGTCCCACATCTTTCTCAAATCATCAACAAGTGGCGCAAGATAAACATCTATGTCGTTTCCTGGTTGCCTTGGCCCTGATATCAAAAGTGAAAGCATTACGTATTTCCGTTTCATGCACAACCAAGGAGGCAAATTGTAAATCACTAAAAGTACCGGCCATGTGCTGTGCTCGGTACTAAGAGTGCCAAATGGATTTATCCCGTCCGTGCACAAACCAAGCCTTAAATTTCTGACTTCATCACCAAATTCCACAAACTTCATATCAATGTTCTTCCATTGCGGGGAGTCGACTGGGTGCTTCAGCATTCTGTTTTTCTTTCTTCCCTCTGCATGCCACCTCAAGTTTTTAGCGTCTTGTGGTAAAGAGAACAGACGCTTAAACCTTGGAATAATGGGAAGATACCACAACACCTTAGCAGGCGGTCCCTTCATACCAGCATTGCAACTCATGCGCTTGTAGTGCGACTTCTTACATCGTGGACACTCCTCCAATTTTTCATATTCGTTTCGATAAAGAATACAATCATTAGGACATGCATGTATCTTCTTATACTCCAAACCAAATGGACACATAAGCTTCTTTGCGTAATAGTAAGACTTAGGAATTTCATTCCCATCGGGCAACATCTCACTTAATGCGGTCAACAAAGAAGTAAAACTAATGTCCGTCCACCCATGCTTCGACTTAATGTTACAAAGTGTTTGCACGGCTGATAGTTTGGAGTATTTTTTGCACCCAGGATACAAAGGATTTTTAGAAGCCTCCGATAATGACTCAAACACGTCACCTTCAAAACCACGCATCATCTCATCCACCCCTTCATCCTCGACCTCATCCACATGATCATCCTCAAATCCATCCTCAGCACCATGATCAACAATATGTTCATCATTATTCTTGTACTCCTCATACTCTCCTTCTTCACCGTGCACATCATTCCCAATAACATCCCCACTGTACTCTCCTTCTTCACCGTGCCAAATCCACACATGGTATTTAAGCCTAAACCCACAACAAACTACATGATCTCTAATGATATCAACACTATTGACCACCTTCACATTATTACAATAAACACAAGGACAATAGAGGCAATCGAAACCCATTCTGCGCTTGTAAGATGAAGCCCCTCTCGCAAAACTCTTGAACACCATTAAATAATTTCAATGTATCACGTCTACCATACATCCAGCCACGATCCTTCTCCATTAAGTAAATTGTCTCTAAACATGGAAACATATTACGAATCATGTATAATTGCTACCATCTATTATATATGTAAATCAAATTCAAACACACAACATGCATATAACATTCATATAGATACAAAAATGCATATATGCTTCCAAAGGGTCCTTATCACTCCAACCTAACCCATCCTTGAACGTTTACTCTCACTAGTGAATGTATGTCGACTTTCCAATTTGAAGGGAAATTCGGCAGCATTTCCCCCCAGTTCTCCAAGTACACGATGTAGGTAATAAGTTACCCACATATGTACCCAGGGAACATGGTGTTTGAGGAAATGGTAAGCCAAGATGTTCCTTAAAATCGAAAAAAAATAGACATACATTCACCACCTAAGTGAGAGTAAACGTTCAAGAACAGTCCCAACCGGGGACTATTCAAGACTTTCTCCTAATGAGAAAGCCTTGAACGAGTATCTAGGCATATGATGATGCAAGCATTTCATATATTTATTGTTGTATTTAGTTTGTCATTATATAATACACAAGTCTAATAGCTAGCATGAAAAAACTTTTATTAAAACAATAATAAAGAGAAAGAAATATTTATGGCTTATAGAAGTTTATAATTCATACCAATACTTCCAACTTGAGCTAAATATGTTTAATCTTCAAGCTAAACTTGAACTTCAATTCACATATGAACCTATAAAAACAAACAAAAAAAGCTTATAAATAACAATAAAATGGTCTCTTTTGTAGCATGCATCATATTACCTCCAATTCTTTAGTGCCCACCCATAATATGTGGGTAGCTATTACACTTTCTGTTTTCAGACGTTTTAACTAATTCTCAATAGTTTTACTTAATCCAATTTTTCGCAAAACATTTCTATTAGGTTACCCCTCTTACCCTACAATTATATATTGTTATGCTGAACTAATGGAGACAGAATATTTCTCCAATAAAGGTATAGTATTCCACTATCACTACCAGGCTATAGCAACAACCATCCAAGAAAAACAGCCTTACTGAGCTGCACCATGCACCACACACCAGCACCCAAACACTAACGCCCAGCACCTTACCTTAATTAGCCAAAACATAATGCAAACCAAAACATTAACGTCCAACACCTTACCAGAACAATGCAAACCAAAACACAAACAGCCAAAAATAAACAGCAGCCCAACACCTTTACAACCCAGGCACAGCAAACCAATACACAAACAACCAAGGGCAAATCCAGAAAGATGCACAGTACCTGAAACTCGCGCCTTAACCAACTGTGAGAGCAAGAACGTAGTTGTGGAAGGGGGGCAATGCGCGACTATTGACAAACCCTAAATTACAAGAAACTTGTAATTACTAAATTGTAAAGCAAATCCACCAAAAACTCAAGAGTACGAAGGAATTGAACAATGGAGTAAGTAAAACCTAAAAATAAGCTTACCTTAATTAGCTTGAAGCTGTTTCAATGGAGGGATGCATATGGAGTACTACTTCAATGGAGGATGAGAAAGCTCGCAGCCCTTCAATGGAAAACAAAGACCGTTGAATGAACAAGCTAGCAGGAGAAGAAAAGAGAAGAAGGAAAAATTGAAGAGAAATATGACTTAATTCAATGGCACAGTGCGTGAAGTACTGAAGAATTAGAGCAAAAAGAAGAACGTTATTAACCCGGGTTTTTTTATTTAAACATGGCACCGGTTTGAACCGGTGCAAAACAGCATAGTTGGCACCGGTTCTCCTTAAACCGGTGCGAACTCTATCCCTTTCTTCTTTTTTTTTTTTTTAAAAAAAAAAAACAGTTGGCACCGGTTTGAACCGGTGCTAATTAAAGAAGTTGGCACCAGTTTAGGTGAGAACCGGTGCCAACTATGAATTTCCCATTCCCGCCCATTAATGTTGACACCGGTTTTCAAGAACCGGTGCTATAGGGGGGGTGCTTATTTAGTTTTTTCTACTAGTGGTTGTTTGTTAGTCGATTATCAAGAAAGAAAGTCAAATTAAAGAGCTAATTGTTCACATTCGAACAACTTAAGCACAATAACACAATGTTTAATGAAAGTTCAACTCATAATAAACTAATTTTCATAAGTATGGTTCTATTGAACTAATTTATTTCTAATTTTTTTGTGATAAAGTTACAGATTTGATTTTTCGCTGTTTTTTTAGTGATCTTTAACCTGATTTTTGGGGTTAGTGGTAATTTGGAACTTATTATCAATCATCCAATTTTTTTTTTTTTTTTTTTTTTTTTTTTTTGAGACTGATTTTAATCAATATACAAGTACAATACATCACTCTCATTTCACATTTAAACAACAACAAGAATCAATGGCGAAAAGAAGATAAAAATGAATTTCCATAATCGTGACGAATATTTTATCTTTCTTTCTATCCTTTTAAAACAACAAAATTCCTCAAAACAAATGAAGAACACGTGTATCATTAAATCAACCCGTATGTCAAAACAAAAAATAATCAAGAATCTTGTAGACAATCCAAATTAATAAGAATATATTCACTAAGCCAAACATCATATGCTATAATTGAGATTAAAAAAAAAGTATTGATTCCAATTTACTATCCTATAAATTGAAAGGGTTTGCAAAAGATGGAATTAAGCAACACATAATAGAATACAACTATACACAACTACATAACACAAATTTCATACACAAAAATGATGAATTCCGTTGCTCAACAGAAGAACATCCATGGTCCAGTGCCTGTAGACCCAAACAGTCCAAAGATCCAAGAGGTTGCTGCTTGGGCTCTCAATGAGCATAACAAGGAACAAAATGTAAGTTTTAATTTGTTTAGCTAGCTAATATTTGATTTGTCGAATATTAAGATCTATCAGACCGTCTTTCACAAGCACTACTTAGTAATGTTCGCTAATTAATACAAGTACGTACAACGCATGTATGCGTAGGTTAGGTCATTTCATAATGTACGGAGTATTATTTAATTAATATCACTTTACATTACCTAAACAACTTTAATTTGAACTAGTTTTGATGACTGAGCTCAAAACCTCTTTTCTATATTGTTAGAAATATGAGATATAATCAGTATCAGAAAATGTACCTGATATTTTCCATAATAACTATATCTCATATCTCTAACACGTATATTTGTACAATTATTATATGTTCTAATCAGCCCCATTGATCGACGTGGTGCAATCTGGCTTAATATGTTTAATCCTCGTTGTAATTTTGTAGGGAGCAAACCTGGTGTATGAAAGGGTTTTGAAAGCAGAACAAGAACTGGTTGATGGTGTGATGTACTACATTGATCTAGAGGCATCTGTTAACGTTTCCGACGGCAATATGAAGATTAGGAACAAGTATTATGCCAAAGTTTTTGAACAAGATTGGACTGACACTTTGAAGCTTGAAGAGTTCAAGCCTCTGTTGCAGAAAAATGAAGGTGTCGCGGTTGCTAACTAATCCTCTACAGCTATACTCATATCCAGATCCCTGGATATATATGCAAGAAACCATATCATTTTTGGTGTGCTTATTTAAGTTGCATCAAAATTTAAAACTACTATGATCTAGTGATATAAAATAAAAGTCTTGCATGACTTGGTTTGTGTACTACCGTGTAATACACTAATACTTAAATAAAATGTACTGTTAGTTGTTGAAGATATATCAGTAAATGCAAGCACATTTCAAAATTAAATAATCCACTACAAAATAATACCATATTAGACGGAATACCAAGCTAAGCTTGGGATGTCTAGTGGCAAAATTTATATTTCACAACTAAGAGGTTTTAGTGACACTATGAAGTGGGGATTCCCTTATACCCTCCCCTCCCCCTTCCAAAATGCTTAGCTCGTTATCCTTATTTGGGATGACCTGTGAGAGCTTTCGGCCCGATAGGGCCCTCTTCTCCTTACCAACCAAAAAAAAAAATTATAAACGGAAATTTTAAATTTATTTTAAAAACGAAGTATGGAAACACAACACCATTTCAAATTTGAGACGGATAATGTTTCGTTTTCCAGCTCTAACTCCTATTTTGAGACGATCTGTTGAAAAATTCATCTCAAATTTGAGACACATAGACATAAATTTCAAATTCCATCTCTAATATAATAGTGATCCAATTCGTAGCTAAGACTATAAATCAATTCATTCAAACAAGGGATCAGTTTATTCCGTTAATGTAAAACTAAATTTCTTTTTCTTTTTTTTTTGAAACACATGTAAAACTAATTTCAATACTTAGACAATATATACTTCGTATATAGTTGTATAGATATAATTTTATGGATCTGGTTGTGAATGATAAAATATGAAATTTGTTGGATCTATGGTAGCAATAATGCTAGCTAAGCAAACTTACTTGAAAGCTTGATTGATTGGATTCGTGTGAATAATGAAACGACTTAGTGCTTACTTTTGGTTGCAGTTATTTGACATAGGCAATAGAAATTCCTAGCTAAGAAATGCTTAGATCCCTTTGTTGTTTGGTTAACATGGTATTCGCAAAAAAGATGAATTGCAAATCCTGAGGAAATTGAGTTTTTTCACATTATGGGAAGTGAATTACTACCTACCCTTACTTTGGTCATTCACAATTCACACTTTACTTTACATCATTTTACATTAATATCGATCCTTAAGCTTCCTAATCCTAATACTTGTGGGTATGATGTATCACACATTTACACCCCTTAATCTATGCAAAGGAACTATGGCTATTAGAGTAAAGAGAGGAAAGGAAGGTAAATATATGGCCGCTACACATTCGCCCGATCAGACGCGCAACGAAGTTGATTATGCATTACGTTGTTTATCTATTCGCCCAGTCGAGCTTGCAACTGAGTTAGAATCAGTTTTAAAATTGACAATATATATTTATAAATAACTCTGTAGGCATGTTTTAAAATTGTAAGGATTTCGCTAGTTAAGAGAAATAAATATGTTATTAATTATTAATTATTAATTATTAATTATTAATTATTAATTATTAATTATTAATTATTAATTATTAATTATTAATTATTAATTATTAATTATTAATTATTAATTATTAATTATTAATTATTAATTATTAATTATTAATTATTAATTATTAATTATTAATTATTAATTATTAATTATTAATTATTAATTATTAATTATTAATTATTAATTATTAATTATTAATTATTAATTATTAATTATTAATTATTAATTATTAATTATTAATTATTAATTATTAATTATTAATTATTAATTATTAATTATTAATTATTAATTATTAATTATTAATTATTAATTATTAATTATTAATTATTAATTATTAATTATTAATTATTAATTATTAATTATTAATTATTAATTATTAATTATTAATTATTAATTATTAATTATTAATTATTAATTATTAATTATTAATTATTAATTATTAATTATTAATTATTAATTATTAATTATTAATTATTAATTATTAATTATTAATTATTAATTAAGGATATGAAAGTAATTTTAATGGTAAAAAGCCAAAAGCCAATACCAAAAAGCTAGTAAGACTTGACTTTTGTTTTTGGCGGAAAAGCTGACTTTTTAGCCAACAAAAAAGTCATTTACCAAACACTTATTTTGGCTGTTTGAGCAAGATGAAAAGCCAAAAGCCAAGCAAAAAGCCAAGCAAAAGCCATTTACCAAACAAGACCTTAACATATAAGAGTTAAAACTAATGATTGGGAGTACATATGTGCATGTGGTGTTAGAGAGAGTTGAAGAGAAAGAAAAGGTAGTTGGAAATTATTAAAGCTGGGTAGAGATAAAGTGTTGGGAATTGATGTCAAAAGACATCATTAGTACAAAAAAAAAAAGGAAAAAGGATAAAAATTCATAGTCTGACTGTATCTGTGTCTATGTAGAGCAGGATGGCCAGAACGAAAAAGACAGCTAGGATCTCAAATTCAGACGGCTCCTCCCACAGGGTGCCGATTAGTGAAACATCTGACCAGGCGCCAGATGTGGAAGTGAAACAAGGCGGCCTGGATGCCGGCAATTCTGTGGGGGAGTCATAGTGACCCCTTCCCATTTAACAGTTAACAAATCTGCTCCTTTTCAAAGAGAGGAGGCGGGCCCCTCCGGGAGAGGGGAGGAGTCGTCCTCTTCAGACTCGTCGGAGGACGATTCCGAGTCAAGCTCTTCTGGCCATGCTTCTTTGGGTACAGAAGAGAAAAACAGCCGCCTGCAAGAGGCGAGACTTTCTCACGCAGTTGAGAAGGGGGAAAATTGGGCGGAACCATCCGCCTCTTACCGAGAGCTAAATACCCCCTACTACTGCACGGTACCTCGGGGCCGAATCACAGCCATGCAAGAGAAAGTGGAGAGCTGTATTGCAAACCACACCATGGGCCCCGACTTTCTAGTGTTTCTGCCGGATCCAGAAGACACAGTCGTCTGGCCGGCTGGTTCCAGTTATGAAAGCTCCTGCTTTGGCTGCTACGAGGCGGCCATCAAGGCTGGGCTTCGCTTCCCATTACATCCGGCTGTTCAGCGGATTTTGGATGGGTATGAGTTGGGGTTATGGCAGTTAGCCCCAAACTCCTGGGTCAACGTACTCGGCTATGTGGCCGGGTGCGAACTGCACGGGGTGGAGCCGAGCTTCGAGGCTTTCGCCCATATGAACTATCTCAGCCGGACCCCTAAGACAGGCGGTACCGGCTGGTATCAATTGACAAGCCACAGGGGCTACCTCATGACAAGAGGTAAAGCAAACAAGTGGAAGGACTGGCGGAGCACCTTCCTCATCATTGAGAGTTCTGACATTGAGCAGAACAAGCGCTTCAATAGGTGGAACAGGAATCCGCCACTTCTTGCAGGCGGCCGTAGCATGCCGCCTGTTCCCCCCAAGGCTAAGAAAGAGATCCTTGATAAAGGACTCTTTAAAGTAGAGTCGAGGGTCGACTCTACTTCAGGGGTACGAGAGCAAGTACCCCTGCACTGCGTCCCGAGCTTCAAGTGGCTCTATGACGAGTACTTTTTGGCCGCCTGCGGCCTCAACAGTCGGTGCTCAAGAGGTAGTCGGCCTGTCGAATACTCTGTTGTTTCATACATTTGTTGTTTATCTTTTATTAACTTTGCTGTTTGTTTTTGCAGCTGACGCCATGAGCAAAATCACCACCTCCAAGACTGCGGCGGCCATGTTGCGGGCCTCTATTATGCAACAAGCTTCAACCGACTCCCCCAAGAAGGGGGCACCCTTGGTGAGCTCCGAACCTTTCACCCTCTTTTTGGAGTGTTTATGCATATACTGACTTTTTTCTTCTTTTTTAGACGGGTGCTCCAAGAGCTTCATCTTCTCAACAGCCGGACCCCAAGGCCCGGAAGACGACTGTTGGGAGCTCTCCTGGTTCTGCCAGGAAACAGGTGGCGGCTGAGAAACAGCCGGCCACTTCCTCTAAAACTCCAACTGGGCCGCCTAGAGGTATGAAGTTGTCCTTGTAAATTTTAGACTTGCTCCCTTTGTTACTAAGTCTAATCCATTTGTTTATGCTTGATGCAGCAGGCACCCAGGAGCCTGACTTGGTAGAGATGGCCAAGTCTATGATCAGGGCAGTTCCTCCAGCTGAAAGGGAGGCGGTCAGGGGTGTCGGCACCCTTGACCTTGACGGGATTGCAGGGGTCCTTGCTGAGGTATACTTAGCATATTTTTGAGTATTTGAATTTCTGGACGCCTGTTTTCTTTTTTGTTTGGAAACTGACGCCTGTTTTTTTGTACTTAGGCCCTGCTCCGAGTTAACGGCCTTCGCAAGCCGCTTGATCGGAAGAACAAAGAGGTAAAGGCTGCAAAAGCTATGGCCGCCTCTGACTGTGATAAGGCAATGTTTCAAATTGCCCAAAATGAAGTACTGACCATTGATATTCTTTATTATCAGGCGCAGGCTACCGCCGCTGTTCGGGCTCAGTTAGAGGCGGCCCAGAAGAAGAATGACGAGCTGGAGGCGACCATCACAAATCTTAAGGCCGAGCTGAAACCTCTTCGCCTAAAAATGTACTCTTACGAAGCAATGGAGAAATCCTTGGCCAGCGTAAAAGAACGCCTGGTGAGCCAAGAGAAGAGTCTTACCCAAGAGCTCTCGGAAAAGGCCGAGCAAGAGAAGAAAGAGCTGGTCCGGGAGATGATGGAAGACTCCGCTCAAATCCAGCGCATGACCTGGGGCCGCCTCTTCCCCAGTGCCGACTTTGCCTCTTGGGAAAGAACGTACCGCCAGTGTTCGGAAACATATAATCAAGAGATCCTGGCGGCTGCTGAAGAAGAGGCGTTGGGAGAAGCGTTGGAGGAGGAGGAGGAGCCGGTAGTGGCGCTTGTGCCGCTTGGGGGTAAGGCATCAAAAAAGGATGCAGCTGAAGCCGAGTCCAGCAAGAAGAGTGCTGACCAGGCGGCAGCTGCTAATACTGAACTGCCCCCTTCTTAAGCTTTATGTATTCTTTCCACGGCATGCGTGCCGTTTGCTTTGTATTTACCCGGCCAGGGGGCCGGGGCTTTGAATATTTTGCTGGTCTTTAATGACCGGCTTATTTTTAATGAATTTTTGTTTTGCTTCAAATTTGTCTAAGTATTCCATATCTAATATCCAATTGTTTACTAGACCGACTGTTTTACATGGCCGAACGTTGCAGACAGGTACGGATAGTTAG